TGTACGTTTGGGAATTTTAATAGCATCGAGTTTTTCAACAAATTTGAATGACATATGGAATAGCTCTCTCAAACAGGCCTCTCTGAAATTGCGGAAAAAATAACAGCTGTTCAATACAGTTCGGAAAACACTTCCATCAATAATATTTGAAGGGCAAATATCTCTTAGTCTATTTTTTAACTTTAATTATATCGCGGATAGCACAAAGAAGTGTACAAACAACCCTGTTAGGGCGTTTAATCGATTCATATGTAGTTTTCAGTATCTACGCTTAGTAGAAATGCATTTAATAGTTATCGTGTAGCACAGGATCAATAAAACCTTTTAGTTTTTTTAATGATACCCGCATAAATGGTTTGATGATGACCATGAAGTGATGGGACAAACAATGGTGGATAGCGACATGCTTGTAAATATCAGTTGCAGTGGCACTCAGAGCTTCAAATACCAAAGATTGCCAAATCCCAAGTGCCTGTAATTCAGAAGCACCTTACATTATTACTAACACACTCACCCATTACACTTACACTCATATAACACACTCTCACTCACACACACAAATATCTTATATTTTATCTTGTATCTCCTATAATTAAAAATAAAAGTAATTCGAAAATCTTTTGTTTTATATAAAGAACATATAATTATTTGTAAAACAAGTTTTGTAATATGGAAGAGCGGCTCTCCTAGCACAAGTAATGTCTTACTTAAAAGGAGTGTCAAACGCAGTCTAATGTAAACTAGCCCTAAGTTACTGAAAATAAACTTTTTTTTTTTTTTTTTTTTTTTACATTACAATAGTAAGGTGCTGCTGAATCCCGTGTCCGTGTTCCCGTTTTGAATACAAAACGGGAACACGGTAATGCTGACGTTACTGCTTGGCGGCAGAAATAGGTACTTCTCTGGACGAACTCTTTCACTCTTTCACTATAATCTGTACAACACTATAATATATATATATATATATATATATATACAGATTATTTGCATCTCATGAAGTGTGGCCCGATATAGAGCAGCACATTTAAAAATGTACATTTTTTTTCAAATCCTCAATTTGACACACAAGCCCTAAACTAAAGGTTTACATGCAATCAAGAAAACAAAAACAACGGCACACGTTCCTTGGTAACATTTATAATACTGACCCCGTTATCTGTTACGACCTATATTCCCCCATTTCTAATTTAATCAACTAAATAGATCACCATAGCAACATACAGTAGCTCATCAGCTTCAATTTGCAAAAAAAATACACAACAAAGACTGTCATTGGACTTATTACTGTAATAACTACTGCACTGTATGTAGGCAAACAATTACATTATTGTTCTAGATAAAACTTAATTTAGGCATTAAACAAATGACGACACGGGCAGACAGACACCAAAAGATAATGTAAATGAAAACAATATAATGCTATAGTACACTATTTGAGAAGATTCGCAATATGAAAAGCTTTGCAATGACATAAAAATATTCTTAAATTGATTGAAAAGTAAAATTTGGAAACAGTTTACACTAATTTAAGTCTAAGAGCGACATCTCTAGCCAGGGCTGGTAGCTCTAGATGTCCTGATTCAGTGCCCACAGTGAAAGCGCTCGGCCCCTGAGGTTGTCAGGTACCAAAGATAGTTTATAATCATCAAAATTTTTAATTAAAAATTTATAATCATCAAAACAATCAGAGCACCTGCTGATGTGTCACGTTGATTAAACTCTAGCGCTCATTCGTAAGGCAGATTCCCCTTAGAAGAATGAGCAGGAAACTCGAGGGGTTTGCTTTGTAAATAAACATTTGTACACATTTATCATTTACAATACATTTTTTTTTTCAAACATCATAGACTGACATCTAGACTGCCTCCAAGAGCTAAACAGGTTACAAATCACAGATTTTTGTTATCCAAGTATGCAGAAGTTGTATTATAACCTTTAGTATAAAGTTTTTGTTTGACTTTAGTTTTAAACCTTGTGAATAGCAAATTTTTGTATATAATCTTGTTATAGACGCGTGTACATTGGCCCTGAAATGAATTTGTCACTTTGTGAAGACGACTATCAAGAACAGCTAGTTCATTTTTATTCCTCATATGAATGTTACGACTGTCAATACTTTAAAAAAAAATTACTATTCATCTTAATATAAATTACATTTTCATAAAACTAATATTTCACAACATTTCATACAATTCAACATTTTCATAAATACTGTCATACTAGTGTAAGAATGTTGATTTTTTAAAACTTATCTCTCAAAGATACTCTGGGGCTCAGTTTCTGCAGTACAAAGATTCTATCGATATGGGCGGCATTACCCCAAACAAAATGCCGTATGTCCTTAGACTGTGAAAGTAGCTGAAGTTAACCAATCTAGCGGTTTCGACGTCTGAAAGTTTCCGTATTTTTTAAATCGCGTACATTGCACAAACGAGCCGTTTTGATAATTTACTTACTTAACTGACCTTAATCTTTCAATAACATCTTGTGTTAGTTGATATATCAAAAACCGCACGTCAGGTTCATTCATCATGTTCAGGAGACTTGTTTGATACAATAAAAAAAAGACTAAGGTACACTTTGAAATTCCTACATTTGAACAAAATTACTACATCTATCATGGTAGTATTTAGTACAGTAGTGCAGCTTTACACTTTAGACCTTGGATTATTCTTATGTTAAGTGGTACAGGGTTGAATTTAAATATACAACTGAGATTAAACTTAGTTAGTGTTGAAAAGAACCCTAGGTAAACTGAAAATTAGTGGGTATTGAAAAAAATACAAGTCACAATAATGTAGCAATGAAGTATCTCTGCTCTTAGTATTATACATATACAACCCAATGACCATTACAAGCTAAGGTTTCTCTAGCAAGAGGATTTTATGCTACACTCCCAAACCCTGGTCGAATTCAAGTCAGGACCATCACTCATTGACGTCTACTTTTAATTTAGATGCAAGTATTCGCACTGAAGTTCTTTTTCAAAGTTAATATACCATTTACATATTGTGGAGATGTAACTGCCTAATTACCATCTATTATATATCTATGTAATCATCCCATGAAAGACCTAGAGGGTTTACAAGTGTATAAGATGGTATACAAGTGTATAAATCAAGTTTTGTAAACAGAGATAATAGTTTGAAATTACACACTATCAAGACCATAAGAGTTAGTTAAATACTGTAAGAACTTGTTTGATTGAGACTGTTTAAGTTATATTTAAAGTAGATTGTCTTAAGTAACAATAGTTTTCATGAATAATTTTAGCAACAAATACAAACATAAGCCAAATTTGTTCAATGCTAGCTTCTCATGATACCTACACAGTTAAATTTGAATACCAGCAAAGTTGTCAATATTTCTGAAATACTCAACGCTGACATTTAGATAGCATTCAACATTTCTCTTTGGTCTTCATGATTTCTGTCAAATTAAGACCTTCATATTATTCATCATCATATTATTGATGAGACTGGGAATGAAAAGTATACAATACTATGTATTCTTTTGTATACTTGGACAAGTAATAAATTTTGATTTTATAAGAATTTGTAAATTGATTTAGTGAGGAATTTAACATGCAAGCAATCCTAATAACTGGGTTATTAGAGTAGGCAATTAGGTGTAAGGCTCTAGCAAATTACTGTGTATTACTTGCAAAAGTCTCCTTCTGTTATTAGCAGATATTCTTGGGTGAAATTGGCATGCAATTATGTCTTTCCCTGCTAATGAGTGTGATAGATAAGAAATAATTACTTTCTAACACTAGGAAACAAAACATGTAGCCAATGACAAAAGACAAAACACATACAAGACTTCTTGGTACTATTTTTAGTGTTATTATAAACCCACTGATATCGGCAGGTACTTGGGCTGTTACGTGAAGGAGTAAAATTTATTTCATTTCAGTCAAATTTTTACCCAACTGAAGTAGATAAGTCATTTAAGAAACAAATTAGTAGTAGTGTTTTGAGTAACCATGGACATGGTTTTTCATACTTGAAGTACAGGAAATCATTATTTTAAGATCAGGTAAGTAATTGTTGGTATATTTCTTTACCTGTAATGAGTGATTGGCACAGCTGTGTATACAGTAAAGTAATTTCTAATGCAAGTAACATAAGAGTTAAATTTTAAATACAAATTAATAAATTTTTTCTTACCTACATAATATTAAAGTTTCAATGCAGAATTATTTACCAGTTCATGGCTAACTCAGTTAATAGCAAAAATTACAGTAAACTACTCAATAGTAATTGCAAAAGGATAAAAATATAAGCAAAAACCTTTTTTTTAAACTGACTGACTGGTCAAGTTAACATAAACAATTCCAATTAAGAACACCTTTATTTTTGTTTCACTAAGATAATAGTCATAATATGGACAAAGGTTACATTCCCGTGTGACTCACAACTGAGATTTTGTACCAATAAAGCGTACTGAGTCACCTAACTGGATGGTTCAAAAATAAACAAATAAAAAACGTAATTTTATCTCACTTTATGTAGTAAAGTGCGCTTACAACAGTGAAATTGATGCACTGGCATTATTCCAAACACCGTACGCTCGTGTCTTGCATTACAAATACGGAAGTTGGTATTATAATCAACTCAGAAGAGTCCATATTATTGTCCTAACATCACCTTGAAAGGTTCATCCACTCGTGACGTGCTACAATTGTATGTTACACGTACAATCACGTACTCTTGATAATGAAATTAATATTGTTTTATGCGGGCTTCGAATCGAAACAGTGGAATTATCTCTCGCCGACTAAATTGGTTTTCAATTCTCAAATCTCAAACACCAGTGACAAGTCAACAGCAATACTTTTTCACACCAAATCGACCGTTTTAGAAAGGTAATTTATGAATTATAAAAAATAATTGAACATTAACAATAAACTACATATCTTTGCAATAGCACTTATATTGAAAAGACAAAAAAGAAATCGCAAGTAGCTATTCTTCCCTTGTAGAAACACATTCACTTACGTTTTCTCACCAGGGCAATATAAACTTCCTCTTCAATTTTATTTACATGTGCTTGTTACACAATAGTCTGTACATTTTATTTTATCCACTACAAAAATAATCACCACGAAATTACTATTGAAATGACAGAAAACAACGAAGAAAAAAGACGTGTGTCAATGGTCGGCGGATGCTCTCTGCCCACTTGTCATGAATAACCAGGAGATGGCGCTTTCAACATTTCAAATGTCAAACCATAGACATTTTATGAGAACGATGACAGACCTAAATTGTTACTTCCAGACAAACTCATCAAATCACAAACCACTGTCAAATAGAGTTAAGAATTTGAGATATTTTTTTTACGTATGTAAGATAATTGATATGGACATATGGAGGAAACGCAGTATATTAACACAGTTAAAAATATATATATATATGTATATTTTACTACCTCCTCCTACATTAACGTAATAATTTATAGACTACTACAATATCTAAAATTTAAAGTCAAGTACGTAATAATATACATTTTAATCTACTAGGACATAGATATCGTTGTTAAGGACAATAAGCGTTTAGTTAGTCGGTATCACCTAAACGGTTCGGTCTCGGTAATATTATTTTAATGTTCCTCAACATTAACACTACACTATTGTTCTGATAAGTAAAATAACAATTTAAAAAAGTCCTTTTTTTTCTTTATTTTTCATTCTCATTGCAACTGTCACTATACCACTTCACGAGATTTTAAAGCCTATTGTTGAACCGAGATAGCATGATGATTTTAACAGATCGTTTGAGTATTATGGTTAACATACAGGTAAGACTAAAAAGACAGTAACAGCTTAAATACTAGAAATGAAAACTAGGATTTTTAAATTATATGAATAAAATTGGGTCCCCGCGGCAAGATACCCAAGATGCTGGCAGCGTTCCCCCTTTGTATTGCTATGCTAATGCGTATTATGGTTTACTATAGTAATTATAAATACTATAATAATTTAGTATTTATAAGTGCATATGCCTCCGTTTCTCTACTTAACGAATGGTATGACCATAATACGAACAATCACAATTAATTGCAATTTAAATGTAGATGTAATATTAAATTATATTTTATTCGTACTATTCAATTGAATTAAAGACGTGATTCGAGTTCATGTAGAATATAAATTAGATAATTATTTGTTTTCTATTTTGACGATTATTTATTTATGAGCAATTTCAAAAAGGACCTACGTTATCTATTTTACATTTATCTTTCACTAAGCCAGTGAAGTATTAAAATTTAATCTACGATTAGTCGTAGAACCATCATTAGAGTAAAATGCAATAAATTATTTTATTTTCATACCCTCTACACCATGCGTCTAGTTAAGGTCGTATTTCTACTTGGTATGTAAGGGTACACATTCAACTTCTGTATATTTTCCTACTACGTTAATTGAAAGTGCCTTAAATCCCCTTATAAGCCACGGGTGCAATGAATGTACCAGCGCAAATTAATAAGCGAGTAAATAGAAAATAGGTAGGTACAGAGTCAATAGTACGTTAAGCTTGACACTTCGGATTTAAATCCAACTCTGTGCCGCTTACGATAAGAACGGTCCAAAGTACAAAGTGTCAAACTCGACGTGCTTTTGACTGTACACACTTTATGTTACCTCAAAAATTTGCTTCTGGAGGTTTAAAGTTGCATAATAAAATTTGGCACGAGTAACTCAGTAACGTGTAGGTGGAGCTTTAAATAAAAATAGTCAACAACATACTCAGCTTTACAATTTGCACTTTGGGCTGTCCATCAAATAAGTTGTATAACTCTGTTATTGTAATAAAATATCAGGTGGAATGTTAATCATGTTATTTTGTAAACTTTGAGGCTAAACTAAACGCGCATTCTAAATTAATCGGAAAATAAATTCTATTTGGGTCTATCAGCGTACACAACATTAGTTTACTAGCGCCATCTATCGGCAAGCTCTGAAGTATGTCGACTTACAAGCTCTGTCTCACTCGCACTCGTGATCTCTGCGCGGCCGAATGGTTCAATGACTCTGGCAACGCTCTGGCAGCGAGTTTCTATTTTCTCTCTGGTCCTGTCGTCGGGTCGGACCGCTCGCAAGGAAAGGGCCTTTGTTTGCGTTTTGCGTTCGCATTGTACGGTTATATCGCAGCTGCGGCACTTGAATATCGCTACGGTGACGGAATGTGCCCTGAGAGGAAACACGGGTATCGCTCCTCCCGGTCGATGTGAAATGTGCAGTGTGGCAGTGTGGCGCCGAGTGCAAGCTGTGCAAGTGCAGTGAGGTGCAGTGTACGCGCTGAGTGCAGGCAGGGGCAGGCCAAAGCGTGGGCCGAGGGCAGCAGCGGCACGGCCACCACGAGCGAGCGCGGAGCTGGCGGCGGGCGCGCGGCCATGACCGGCGACATGCCATTGGGGAGCGCGCACGCTTTCGGGCGCGCGTTGCTCCGGGACGGGGCTCTGCCGCCGCTGGAGCCAGGCCCGCCCGCACCGCCGCCCAACAACGCGCAGCCGCCCGACAAGCGGCCGCCGGCCGCGGCCGCCAGTCCTGAGCAGGTCATGAAACTTTACATGAACAAACTGACCCCGTATGAGCACCGAGAGATATTCGATTACCCCCAAGTATACTTCATAGGCGCGAACGCCAAGAAACGTCCCGGCCTGGTCGGGTTTCCCAATAACTGTGAATACGACAACGAACAGGGGTCATATATCCACATCCCGCACGATCACATAGCGTATCGATACGAGGTACTCAAGGTGATAGGGAAGGGAAGTTTTGGACAGGTGGTAAAGGCGTACGACCACAAGAAGCGCGAGAACGTCGCGCTCAAGATGGTGCGCAACGAGAAGAGGTTCCATCGGCAAGCGCAGGAGGAGATCCGCATCCTGGAGCACCTCCGCGAGCAGGATAAAGATAACACGATGAACGTGATACACATGTTCGACTCGTTCACGTTTAGAAACCACACATGCATCACGTTTGAGCTACTCTCGATCAACTTGTACGAATTGATTAAGAAAAACAAGTTCCAGGGGTTCAGTCTGCAGCTTGTGAGGAAGTTTTCGCACAGTCTGCTGCAGTGCCTGCACGCGCTGAACAAAAATCGGATAATTCACTGCGATATGAAGCCGGAGAACGTGCTTTTGAAGCAGCAGGGTCGCTCCGGAATCAAGGTTAGTATTTTTTGCTTTTCGTTCAGTTTTCAATCTCACTCTCGTACTTTATAATTTCATAAACACAGTGTCAGGTGTTGTTGAAGCGCATACTATCAAAGTGTTTGTGAAATTGGAACAGGTATGCAAGGTGCCGAGTTGAAACGTCGGATAAAATCAATATAGGTAGAGTAAGTAAGTAAGCGTTGCTGTCGTTCTGTGTAAACAGTGCATTGCGTGCTGTAGGGCGTTGAGATCAGCTGGCCGGCCACACCCGAGGGGATGTTTGTAGGGTTATTTGTCACACCCTGAAAAGAGAACGAAACATCCTGTATTATGGAATGTCCTTACAAACTTGCGAATCTTGAGACAACATTTTCATTTCGACGAAATTATATTTTTATGTAATATTGGTATCTTTGCTTACCAATGCGGACTTGATTCGTTTTAAATTCTGTTTTATTGCTTTGCGTCATCAAAACCTAATCTCAAGCATTATTAAAGGAATCATACGATAAAATCAACACGAGACTTTTGTAGCGTAAATCTTATTATGACGTATTACGATTCTTGATACAAGTATTTTGTTCACTAGCACTATCGTTATCTTCGTTCCTCGTCGACGCCGGGGTTTATTTATAAAACCGCCCGATTCACTAACTGGGAGTCTCGCCATGTGATATTAACGCGGTTATTTATAATTTACGTCATACGTTCGTATCCACTCTGTATTAGTGTCCGATTTTTGTCGAAACTAAAAGTTTACGAATGTTTTGAGACTTAGGGTCGTATTCTAGAACTCTACTCAATGCTCAAGTCAGGATTTGAGCAGACTTGAGTATGATTTCAAGCACTGGAAATACGACCCTAATGGCAAGGACTCGAGTATGATTTTCAGTGCTCACTGCAATACTCAAGTCCTGACTTGAGTATAGAGTAGAGTTCTAGAATACGACTCTGATGGTCGTGTTCCAGAACTCTACTCAATGCTCAAGTCAGGACTTGAGTACGATTTAAAGCACTAGAAATTATACTCAAGTCCTGGCGTTTAGGGTCATATTTCCAGTGCTTGAAATCATACTCAAATCCTGACCTGAGCAATGAGTAGAGTTCTGGAATACGACCCTCAGGGTCGTATTCTAGAACTCTATTCAATGCTCAAGTCAGGATTGCACTGGAAACACAAGCACTGGCAATACGACCCTAATGGCAGGGACTTGAGTATGATATCAAGTGCTTTAAACCATACTCAAATCCTAACTTGAGCATTGAGTAGAGTTCTAGAATACGACCCTTAGAGTCGTATTCCAGAACTCTACTCAATGCTCAAGTCAGGACTTGAGTGTGATTTAAAGCACTGAAAATCATACTCAAGTCCTTGCCATTAGGGTCGTATTTCCAGTGCTTCAAATCATTTTCAAGTCTGCTCAAGTCAGGATTGCACTGGAAACACAAGCACTGGAAATACGATCCTAATGGAAGGGACTTGAGTATGATTTCGAGTGCTTTAAACCATACTCAAATCCTGACTTGAGCATTGAGTAGAGTTCTGGAATACGACCCTAAGAGATTAATTTACGCTCGATTTTGTAATTACTGATGGCAGCTTAAAATCTAAATTATAATATATTTTTTTTATAATAAAGCGCTTGTGAACAATTATTTCGTAAAAGATTTATTTTATAGGTCTCTACAAATCACCTTTTTTTAATATGATAACAAGTGACGAGACGAACAAGTCATGCGCGTGATGGTAAGCTGCCACGCCTGTCCATAACAGTTGCAGTGCCACTCAGAGCTTTAAATCGCAAAGATCTGAAGGCACCCCCAATGCGCCCGTCACCCTGAGACATAAGTTGACAAGTCCCATGTCTAATTTCACCAGCACCCTTACCCTTCAAAACCGGAACACAATAATGCTGACATTACTGCTTGGCGGCAGAAATAGATAAGGTAGAAATACTTCCCTGGACGAACTCTTTCACAACGAGCTCTACTGCTACTATTATACTACTAGTCACTGCTACTGCAAAGCAGTGACTAGTAATTTTATACTTATTAGCAAAAATTCACAGTTACACAGTGAACCAATGTCATCGCGATATTTCGATCTAAAAAATACCGCAAAAACTGAAACCTTCACCGCTCACTGCGAAAACAACGTGACCTACAACTCGATGAAGCGACTGGCACTTTTCAACGGTAAATATGACGTCTATGTCAGAAACATACAAAAAGTTAATGAAGTTCTACAACAACAAACAATTGAAATGTTTGTTTTTTTTTATGCTTTATTACCCAGTTATTACTGCCTTTCAAAATTTCTTACAATTATTTTTTGCTCGTAGAGTTTCTTAAAGCGATATAATATAAAAAAAAAATCGCGTCAGTTATTTTAGTCGTTTCTTACAAACTCTTACAGTATAAACGTGCTGTTAGGTCTTGACACGTTTATCGATAAAATGTAAGTAAAGTGCTCGATAATTATTTAGTCCCTTCTAAGTTTTAAACGCTATAGACTATATATAAATCAACTTTACTACGTTTCCAAGACTTGTGTCAAATCATTCTTATGAGACAAGTTTTTTCACGACCGTTCGCCTTGCCACGGTCGATCTGTTTTAAGATCTCAAACAAATCCTATTATATCACCTGTTATTAAAGACTCATTGTTCCAAAACCGTGGTTTGTACACCATCGTGCCGCCATTCATATCACGACGATAACAATATCTAATTGAACGATAACATAAATGATGTCTATGAAATATATAGCATCAATACATACTTTGTGTTTCAAAATATTCTTTAAGTGCATTATGATAATTAAAGGTACGCCTTTTTGTATTATTTATTTAATATACTCGTGAAAGTGATCGCGAAAGTCTCGAAACTTTTAGTCCTTCAATTGTTTTAATTTTAAGAGAGTAAAAGCTGTTAACAAGATTTTTATAATTACGCAGTTATGAAATTCTTTATTGCACAAAGAGAAAACTTGTTACAAAGGACATATCGTCGTTATACTGCGAAAACCAATTATCTGGAATTTTAACAGAAAATGACTTAAGTTAGGATAACGCGACAAAATTGTATATGTAAAATGCATACATTTTCAAATTTCGGTAAAATATAAAATGTGGAATCACAGTTACAAATTTACGTAGGATGACCATGGTATGCCCAAGAAAAAATCGTCGTTGAAATTTCAATTGCATTTATTTCAAGATCGATATTTTGTGAAATAATTGTTTTTCTCAGTATAAGGGCGATATACGATGGTGAGTTTATCTCTAAAAGATATAGATCTAGCCAACCCTTGAAGAAAGAAAGTCTGCGGGATCGTATTGTACAATAAAATCGTTAACATTTAAATATAAATGATTATAATATAAACATCTGATCGTGATCTCTTTTTATGAATTATTAATAACCATTTACCGAAATAATGTTTGCTTTGCGTTCATGTTTATCATTCTCATTTTCATATAAAATAAATGGTGACGGTAATGTTTTGTTAACATGCACGTAAAATCATGCATATGCTTGTGGTAAATTTTATATTAATGCTAGACTGAGACGTTAGCTATACAACTAAACTTACAACGGAATTCATCCGGTGGCACTGCCCAGAACCAAGTTAGAAAAGTTCATTTCCCAATTTGGTTCTACCGCGAATCGATCCCGGGACCTCTCATTCAGTGCCCACAATACATAGTAATAAACTGTAGGGCCATAAAGATCGTTAAAGTTTCCAGCAGTGTTGCCATTTACGAAGTTGTTTCTACTAATTATGTGTTAAATTTTTAACATTTTCTAAGCGAAGTTGTTTAATTAACCCTGACCTGGTAAGACAGAATATTAGGAATGGGATGTATATTGCTTTACGCGTCTAGCTGGCTGTACAGAACACATCCATGCCTAGTAAACATGTCAAAAATTAAATTGAAAAATGCACATAATTTAGCTTGCGTGATTAGAAACAGTTACTCATTTCTTTATCCAGGTTAGACCTAGATGAAATTAAAACGCGCCACCAGCGTATCTCTAGTTTCGATAAGATAGTGTTTCATTGCAAACTGATGGTTACCACGCATGCGTTAACGGTATGCTCAACCGTACATTCTCTCAACGTAAAAATATTCTCCTATTGTTTCAGCGAACATAAATTTCAAGATAAAACTAACCAGCGACTGTAGAAGTCATTAGTTGCTTTTTTGGCAACTTTAGCGGTACTTTCCACAACCTGTTTGCAGACATATATCCATTAAAGTCCTAATTGACTACTTTTTTATAGAAAGCCGCGAGTGCGTTGCACTTTTGGCTTATTTTCGTGAACGTGATCGTAATGCAAAATAACATATCTTGTACGTTCTAGTTTAAGAAAAAAGTAGTTAGCACAGAAGCGTTAATTTCATGCACGCCGAATGCTCAGTGGGCCTTAACTGATTATAATTCTTGGTACAATAAAGACAGTTTTGTAATTTTAATTTAATGCTCCAAGTGTTGCTCTAAATATTGAGACGAATGAAAAAAAAAAACCGAAAGCTATCCCTGATTTTACATGCTGTCGCTATAATAAACCTTTTCGAATTTCGATATGAATACGTTCGTAATGGCGGATTTTTTGGTCTGTAAACTGTTTCGCTTTTTGAATGCCGAACAATATCTTTAACGGCGATGTTTAGCTATTTAGCCAGGCAGTTTGACTAGCCGACTAAAACCAATGTCAGCTATTTCCGACGCTAGCGTTTTGTCGCTGCAACTCTGCGGTGTTGTCAGTCACGCGAACGTTGGGACATTGAAGCTAATCTTACTAACCGAGTGACTAATAATTTTGCGCTTTTCGCCGGGTACTCCTTTCTAGGAAGAGCAGGAGAAAATTACTTGCAATTTTGTCTGTCACAAGTAACATTCTAAACCGGTAAACAGAATAGACTTTGCAAACTTACCTGCTCCATAGACATTACAGTTTAGTCTACTAACAATATATAAGCGCCATCAGAAATCAGTAAACAACACGAA